CATATCTCAGTACTAGTCGGTACGCAACCACACTACACTTTTCGGTCTGCATAGATGACGTTTTCACGCGACCAGCACATGACGTTGTCGTACCAAAGCGTGTGCCATGCGCTGGAAAAGACCGGGGAATTCAAAAACAATGCTGATGCTGATGCTATGTACGACGACCAGGTACAAAAACAAAGTTGTACACATGAGATGGAGCGCGAAAACGACGAAAACGACAAACGAGGCTTTCTACAGGGGTGCGCCAGTTGCTGAAAACCTACAAAGCGCATTTAGCATTTCGCACGCGTCGGCATGACGAGTTCTACTGTAATGCCGTTTGTACGTGATTTTGTACCTAGTGTGGTTGCAGCCTTATTAGCTCGTCAGGCTGCGTATAGTGCTCTATATCCAGTGTAGATAGAGTCAGTGTATTACAATCCTCGCACAGCAATATTGTGCTCAACTCCTTCTTTGCTTTTACTGAGAGTTTTGTGCTTGGAAAATATACTCCGGGCCGAAGGTCCGAAGGGGGCAGAGACGACAAAGGCTTTAATCACTTCAGTAGCGCGAAGAAATGTTGTAGAAAAGTCTCCAGTTCCAATAGGGACGACACGGGAAGCTAAAGGGTTGAAAGTATTGCCGATGATCGCGCAAGTTCTAGCCTTAGTGCACATAGAATAAATTTGTCATGTGTTGGAGGAATAGCCGGGAAGCCTAGCATATTATTGACACATACACTCACGCATCATGATAACTATTATTGTAATCATAGGCTGGTGAAACCACGTAGGGCGATGTTGAAGTTTGGCTAGTATCTGCATACCCCTCGCCCTCTGCACTCACTGTCCGCTTATGGTATTCTGTTTGGCACTGGTCGGCCCCGAGGCCTCCGGGCCCAGGACGCCCTGGCTGCTAGATGGCTTGTATGCACCACTTTCACCGCTCACATTCGCTACTCGTTGCTATTATCTACTAGAGCAGCGTAAAGAGCTCATGGGTGCAACGTCATCGCATAATTATGTCGAGTGCACGAAGAGGAACCGAAGCTAGTTTGGTAGTGAGTAGCAAACGAGATTCATACGGAATCGATCAACTAAGACTTGAAGGGAAGGACTGGCCTTCACGCTGGCTTCACTAAAGTTGCATAGCGGACGAATCTGCAGTTATTAGTGAAGTCAACCATTATTCTTTTGCCCTTTGTTGTTCACATGTACGTGCAGGTTTAAGGTGACAATGATATCGACTAAGCAGTGCTTTGGCATGTACCTCCTTCTTCTTGCAACTCTGTGTCCAATTGGTGTACTGTGCATGCCTCTCAGAGGCGTGCAGGACACAATTCCGAATTTACTGTCAGATGACAGTGTTCAGACTGGATCGTTCAAATATGCCGATATTCAACTTGACGATAGTGCTACTGGGAGTTCTTCTGAGAACGTGTCTCACGAAAGCGCGTACTCGAGTTCATTTCATTCCAGTTCATCAGGCGAAGGGTCTTCCCGAGAATCTGGTTCAGGTGTCTTGCACGACGCGGTCTTTTGGGATTACAACTTTCCTGTCCACTACGACCCACAGCTTGTGTCTTCTCCAGAATCTGGTTCAGGTATCATGCACGACGCGGTCTTCAGAGGTTACAACTTTCCTGTCCACCATGTGTATGACCCAGAGCTTGTGTCTTCTCCAGAATCTGGTTCAGGTATCACGAACTACCCGGCGGGCTTCTGGGATTTCAACTTTCCTGACCCCAATATTCCAGTACTTGCGCCTGAAGGAATAGTGGTATCAGGTTATTACCCAGGTCGAATAGACGAGGTGATCAATAATTCCCCTGAGAGAAAGGATAATGCAACTGGTGGTGGCGAGTTTGGCGAAAAAATTATCGTAAACGATTTGTCAGCTAAAGAACGACTGAATGCTGGCGTGTCATCAGTGCACTCGTTCAGCGGATTGCTTATCATCGTTCTGCTTGTAGCCTGCTACGATTCATTTTGAGTGCATGGTTTCTGGTTCCATTGCCGTGTTCAGGATGTGGCCTATCAAAAGCCCGGATCAAGTAAATTTAATGTGACTGTAGCGTTTGTCTTCCGCCGTCTGCACAATGTGTGGCAAGCAAACCAGCCTGTGATAGTCCAAGCAGACATCTCAACACGATGCAACTGCAACCTACCACAAGAACACAAAGACGTTCCTTCTGTTCAATCGCCGGATGTGGCCTCTGGCATGTTACTGCACGCCGTGTCATCTTCCTTTCTCAGCCTTCCAGTAGAAGATATGAACTGTCCATAAAACCAAAGCATTCCATTATTGATCAAGATGGTATTTTTGCCAGTACAAGACGCTTGGCAAAGGATAAAAATCAAAGCAGCATGACTGCACTGCACATTTTGTCACGTGATTCCAACAGTTCAGATTGATATAGCGAGTTTGCCTGGCACTTTTGATCAAATCGCTATAGGTTTTTCTGTAGGTTTCAATCACATGCTTCATGAAATGTACTGTGACGTTAATGAAAGCGTTCGTCTGGAGATGTCGTTTCATTTCTGAATTGCAAAACCGAAGGTATGTTTGCTGCCTGCTTATCATGATGATTTGGGCGCAGTTATTGCAAGGCGAAGCAGGAGTACTTGGAAATGAACCTTGAAGATAAAATGCCCGGGGATAATTTGGAAGATCATCATTCCTACCCAATAGTTTTCGTTCTCAAATTATTTGCATCGATTTGGAGAATATGGAATACTGGCTTGTAAAGGAGTGGGAAACGAGGGAACCGTCAGACGTTTCAGACGGAATCGATCTACGTTTACACCGGGCGGCTGAAGACAGGCGTTCAAGCTCGCCTTCGAACTGTATACACATAGCACTGTGAACGAATCTCCAGGGAGTAGAGAAATCAAAAAATATTCCTTTGTGCATTGTTTAGATCGTAATAGTGTTGCCGCACTTAGTCTGCGGATATTCAAAGTGGCAATGGCGTCGACGACGCTGTTCGTCAGCATGTACCTCTTTCTTCTTGCCACTCTGTCTCCAATCGGTATACTGTGCATGCCTCTAAGTGACTTTCATTCAGTACTCCAAGAATTTCTTGCTGAGGAGGCTTTGCAGGGGCCAGCGTTTGCCTATCCCGATATTCGAACTGAACACCATAGTGCTGATGGAGGATTGCCTGACAACGTGTCGGTTGAAAGTGCCTCCTCAACTGTCTTCGATTCCAGTTCATCTGGTCAAGGGTCAGCTTACGGTACTATCAATATTTTTGCTGTTCCTGACATCGTCCATGTTCCTGATACAGACAGAGTAGGACATCAGCAGGGTGTGATTTCGGATTCGATTGCCATAAATGATGTTCCTAATTGGAACCCCCGCGAGGGAGTTGATAATGCAACGGGTGGTGACGCCTTTGTCGGAGCTAACACCATGAACGCATCGTTAGCCAACGTGAAAATAAACTCCGGGATTGCATCGGCGGCAGTGGCCTTGCTCAGCGGATGGCTAGCTATAGTTTTGCCCGTAATCTGCCACATTGCAGTCTGAGTGCGTCGTGTCTTGTGGCGCACAAGTGTCCTGCTTTTGAGATACAACGAGCGAAAATATGCTAGTACTGAAAGTGGCTATGTGTTTGCCTCCGCGCTGCCATTGCAATCCACCCCAACACATCGCATCAGCAACTTGCACCAAGTATATCACATTTTCCTGCTCTACCATCGGCCTTTTGACTTGATGACGTTATTGTAAGTCACCTCTTGTTTTAACAATTACGGTTTGAAATAAACAGACAGTTTGACGTAGATGGAAGTCAATAGCTCCCGACAAGTCTATTTCTTTACTATTGTGCGTGCATTAGACCGGGGCAAGAAGCTACACGTACTTCGAAGAACGACTCTATTCAGTTTACATTTAGCAGATAGTGCGAGTGTGAGTTCGTGTTCAGGATGACAGGTGTTGTGTCTTTAAATGTAACCGTTCTTGTCTTGGAAGGATTCACGTTTGAAGGAAACCAACGTGAAGTCTTTGAAGAGACAGGCTGAAAAGCTTCCCATAGGCTTCTTTCTATAATAATCTGCAAGCTTCACACCTGGCAGGATGTTAATCGAAAGAAAGGCTATATCCAGTTTCTATTTGCAAACTTTCTTCAGTAGAGAAGGCATGTATAAAGGTGATCTTCAGGAAGCCAGGTGTTAAGTCGTTAGATATTAAGCAAGTCATTTTATTTTTTTTGGCGCTACGCTCTGCGTAACGCCATTCACAGAGCACAATGCGCGCTACCTTCTGCTGCTGCTTCTCCGTGATGTGCTAGTTGCGCCTTTTCTCTCTCTCTGTCCCCCCTTCTGCATACTAGGTGACATAATTCGCATCTTTTTTGGCGCTACACTCTGCGTATATACTGCTCTTGTGTGGCTTCCACGGTATTCATTGTTATTACCTGACGATGGCCAAGTGCCGAAACGTTGTAAAAATAACGGAACTGGTTCGGATGTGATGTGCAGCGCTATGGGAATGGGTGTGTCCACCCGAATTCTTTTCACAGATGAAGCTGCAGGAAGCCTCAGCCCTTCTTCAAAGATATTAAGCAGTTGTATTTAGACGTATTCACCTACTGGAGGAACTCAATACGCAGTCGTACAAGCGTCAAGCGACAGGCTCCCGTGATATCACTGATCGCGAGCCTTAGAGGTCTTGAACGTGCGCAAGTGAGACTAACCGTTGTCACGTGTTACTTCGGATCGCATGTGTACACGTCCTGTGTGAACTATTGTCCTTGGAGATACACGAGAGGCATACGTCAGGTGTACAACAGACACTCAACTGTTCGTGACAGTGGGGTTTTTGAATTCATGCGGAACGGCTGGACCGCTGTTCGGTATGTGGATGATTTGGTTTCATCCACACTCAACTTGCACTCAGATCCCACCAGCGAAAACATAACGAAACAAGACTTTCAGTTCAGAAGCAAGGTTTTAACGTCACCAATAAACCCTAAGTCTAGAACCTCATGCGAAAAGAAAATAATCCTTAATTAACTCGTCTTATGGTGAAACTGTCCAACACTCGGATGTAATGGAACCGAGACGTTGAAAAAGAACCGTCCGACTGTGTGAAGTAGCCCGAATACCGGCCAGTGGTACCATGAGACGAGTTAATTATAATGAAGGTACATGAAGGGTTGTGCCGAATTTATGATACCGGTTTAGGCCGAAGAAATTTATATTTTGAGAAAGAAGGGGTGGTAGAGAAATAGATTAATGTACAAGGGCAGCCACAATACCTATGAATTTTATGACAACTAGGCCTCAAGCAACAAGATTGTAATGGCACCCTACATAAATTAATGAAGATCTTTGCTCGTTGATCGAGAAGGGGTTGCTCGCGGCGAGGGGGGGGGGGGGGGCGTTGATATTAAAATGATAAGAAAGGGTGGTAGAGAAATATATCAATGCGCAAGGGTAGCCACAACGCGCATGAAATTTGATGATAACTGGGCCTCAAGCAACAATATTGTAATGGCAACGTTCATAAATGAATGAAGGTCTTTGCTCGTTGATCAAGAAGGGGTTGCTCGCGGCGAGGTGGGGGTGGGGAGTGGGGGCGTTGATATTTATGTGATTTTTGGTGAACATAACACAGTGAACCGGCAGATAAAACATTACTAAGAAAAAGGATTGAGAGTATTGGGAAACTCCCAGCAGAAGATTGGCTTTCAATTGGCAATGGCACTGTCAGAAAATGTAGAGTTTGTTCTCTTCTTATCACCCATAACATTATGCCGTAAAAGTACCGGAAAGTCTTGGGAACGCAATTAAAGAAAGGGTTGCTAACTACCTGTTATGACATTATGATGTGCATGCACAATGCGAATGGTTATTATGCTGTCTGTGCGTAACGTCTTCATTCATCGACGGCAGAGGCATATACATGTCCAAGCAGGCGATCACCTACGTTTCATCGCATTGAATCGTCTACATTGTCTCGGAATCTAATATCTCAGGGGGTGGATTCATATACACTTCATCAGGAACAACAGTGTTATCGGAAACATTGATATACGTTTCCTGAGAGGCCTTCATATGCACATCATCATAAGATGCACTCGCAGGCCTTTCACCAGTGGCAGTCACATATCTGTCCTCACAGGCAGCCTCAACAGTTACTGGTGATTCCAAACTTTCGTAGATTCCCTGGCCCTCATCCTGGCTTGGCTTCGGCATGTTATCAAGTATACTATAAATGTCGGCAAGGTCTTGATCGGTTGTTCTCCCGTTTGCTGCAGCAGCATCATCAGTATTAGAGAGTGTACTCTGCTCCTGCGGGTCTTGGGGCTTGGGTGGTGGAATATTGCACGTTTTGCGAAGGGAAAGACGCGTCGAGGCACGAGAGCGAAATTCGAAAATCTGTTCTGACGTCGCACCACGAGCAGGGTCCATGAATTCGTATTCTTCATCTCTACAGCGTCCATTTATGGCGGGTTCGGAATCTTCGTTACTCGCAACATCCGACGCAGTGGTTTCGTGTACATTGTTGTTCCCAAACATTGTTTGAAGAGGAATGACATTTTGAACTGCACGCCTCAGGCTGTAATCATTATCCTCCTGATCAATCGCCTTTCGCGCGTGGAACTGAAAGTCGCTCTGGGAAGCATTCTGCCGCTGGGCGTCGCGTCTGACCACGTAGAAGTAGAGGACAGTTGCTATGGCAAATATTACGATCAAAAGACCACTAACAACGAGCACTGCGACTAGCTCACTCTCAACGGACCATATGCTGCACGTGGCGGGTTCGTAGGCCGTGGCACTAGCTGCAGCAGAAAGAAGAAAGAAAGAAGGGACAAAGGTAACTGGTTGCCAATATTTAAATTAAGTGCCATGTACATGTATACGATATGTATGCAATTGGCGTCAAGGTGATGTAACAATTCAGCAACTTGACGACGACCACGACCATCACCATCACACCACCACGACCACTTCTAGCATCGCACATAACGCCTGCTATTTACCCCATTATGATTTTGGACAGTGACTTAGTAGCCAGTTTGCGTTATTATGTAACGCAACTACGAAAGTACCATGTATACAAACCAAATTGAACTGTATTCATTGACAATTTTAAGCCTGGCAACTTTTCGCGGAAAGCCACCGAATGTTGCACCGGAATGATTTAATTTTTTTCAGTATCCGGTAATGGACATGGTGTACCAAAGTGGTATGAAGCATGCATGAGTCATTTAACTAGCCGTGCCAGCACAGCTCATGCTTTCAAGGGAGGAGAAGGTCTATGTTACCCGCACAGATCTGTACTGGCCGTTAAATGACGAAGTTAGGCAGTGCTTACGGCACTGATCAGGCTAACTCTGAACTCACGAGCACAGGAAATGCTGGTTCCGAACCACTTGCCAGTCGGAAGGCAGATCGCGCTTGGTGAACCCCGCAGCTGGTACCCAGGCATGCATGTGAACGTTCGCGTGGAGTAGACTGTCATACCGGTTCCTGTGACGTTGCCATGCTTCGGTGACGTCACCATGGCTGAACATTGTATTCCTGCATGTGATTGGGCACAGGGAGAAACGATTATGCCTGGTTAGCAAAGATTAAGGGAATTTACGGAATAATGGCAGTGGCCTCGGCGTTAAAGGGTGCTGCCCCAGCACTGGAGTTTGTACATATCCCGCCGACAAGACGTGCCACATAACAGACTAATGACTGCATACAGATCACAGAAGTCGGGGGAATGTTGGCAGATCGGTGTTAGTGGGTGTTTGAAGCTTATATCAAAATATTAATGAATTATTGGGTTCTGAGACGCTGCAATAACCAACACCTTTCCAGTTTTCATTGCTATTCAAAATCAACGCACTGGATTCCTGAAAACGTACGATTGCACACTGGTAGCTTCGCGCTCCATGTCCCGTTACAGCCGCAGTAGACGATCCGATTTTTCTCAGGGTGCACTTCAAATCCTGCCTCGCAGTGGACGAACGCAGCGGATGAGAACGCAGTGCCACCGGAGAACGTGACAAATCCATTACTCGGGCTTTGGACACTCTTGCAGGCCACTGCACAGGAATGAAAGAGAGTTGAGAGGAATTGGCCACACTGTATAAATGATACGAACTTAGAAGTTGCGACTTCGGCGGTATTAGTCATGAAGTTGATTGTTCCAACTAGGAACACACGCTTCTTGCCGAACTTGACACTTGACTGACTCACGACTGCCATCCGGAGCACACGAGGAGCACGCCGCACCTTCCACTCGGCAAACCTGCAAGAAAGCACCACTCCCTGCTCAATACACGGTGTTTCGGGGAATTCACCCCTCATCAGTTGAGCTTGAGTAGGCTGAGGAAGATTGTGCCTGAAAAGCACCACTTATATACTGTTCTCCAGGCCAAACCATCACCAGGGATACAAACTTACAGAGACGCTTTGTTTCCAGCGCGACAAACACCTCGTGAAGCTCTAGGTAGCAGCGTGAGTCAGAGTCGCTCATGGAGTTGTGATAAACAGACGTATAAATGATGATAAATGTTTCCATATTGACAATAGTAGGCAAACGTTCTCCTGCTGTCTAGTCACCCTATTCTGTTCGTAAGGTCGGAAGTAAAATTTGGGAAAAGAGCTGAAAAAGATAAGCAAATTAAGTCGCGTAAGTAATGATAACACATGTACATACACCCGCCCAATTCTGCCGTTTTCCAAGAAATGATTCAAATCTATAGCAAATTTAGTGTACTACGAAAGGATTCCAAGCCAATATCAGCCCAACGTATTTCTTACTGGTACTATTGCTCTAAAAGTTTCATCATACAGACAATACATAACATTTAGAGCAGGCTAACCTTGCCAAGATTTTGGACAGGCTTCCAAGAACTGCGCCAGAGCCATAAAAATGGTGAAAGCTAGGAAAACCGTCCGAGCCATCATAAAAACATGAAAATACTTGAAAAGGTTCAGTGAACGCCAACTCGTCCGAAAAGGAGAAGTTTTGATAATGATAAATTAATTGACTGCGCAAGTTACTTGACACTTCACAGACGAAAGAAAACACAGGCGCGGCCAGGAGATATTCCCACGGCCTACCCAGTGCGATATGGATTCGGGATAACTCTCGCAAGTTAGTGTTGCAGCCAGACTTCGTAGGAAGCATTTCTGCTGCTGAGCTGAGCTCATCGGTGAGGTGGCCAGCTGGTTTTCATATGCTCCGTTGGTAGTGACAAGTAGATCAACTGGTTCGTTGTACCGGGAGGTTACCTACATCCTGTGCCACTGCCTGGGAAACTCATGTCAAGTTTAGACAAGGACCATACATTAATTGAAGCGGTCCACACTGGATATGCTAGCAATAGACGTATGATCCCGAAGTCACCACCAGTACTCGTTCTCAATCGGTCACAAACTTAGGAAGCTATCCGCTGACATTGAATGTTACTGGGGACAAAACTACCAGTTACATCTAGCAGGCTTGTTCAAAAGCAATGGAAGAGACCGATTCTTAGGAACGAATTGCTTGCGAATTTGCCTGTCTCCTCACCTTTTTCGAATAGTTCCGTTTCACAACTGGAGTTCTTTGTCACTGAGATGGATGCCGACAGCATCACAGTCAAATAGAGATATCCCTGACCGTCACACGTAGTATACAACTTGGTTTCCGAGAGTGCATTACATTTAGGAAATGAGAATGTGTGTTGCTCCTTCTGTAAGAGTGACTCCGTATTATAAGCACCAAAACAGCTGTGATTCATGTGCATGGAATTAAGTTGAATAAAGGGTGATGCTTAGTGATGCGTAGTTCCCTGTAGCCATCACGCACAGCTGACATTCCAGCAATGAACGGTTTGGTTTGGGATTTTGTTGTGCGCAATTGCTACGAAGGGTAGCAGCTAGTTAGCTGACGAGCGCACGGAAGAGAGGACTAGACACACTATGCGTTATTGTTGCCACGTCTGTTGGGCTGTAAGAATGTAATCAATTTGAAGGTGCTTGAGTTTGAAGTTCGTCCATCCTCATTATCATGTAAAAAATTGTCAAGACGTGGCTGTTGCGACTTCGGCGACATTAAGCGAATTAAGTGTCGCTCCCTACGTTGGAGGTCGCGCTTTTACTGTTGACTTGGATCTCATTTCAGTGACTAACGACTGTGATCCCCACAACACGAGAAGTCCATCTAACGTTCGAAGAACCGGCAGGAAAGCACCGCTCCCTGCCAAATGCACAGTGTTTCGGGGAATTCAACCCTCGTCAGTTGAGTTTGAAATTTTGTGCTCCGAAAGCACTGTACTATTTGACGCTCCCCGAGCCTAGACATCACTAGTTTAGGAAACTAACTTACAAGGACTGTACTATGTAACGCTCCCCGAGCCTAAACATCACTAGTTTAGGAAACTAACTTACAAGGACACTCCGTTTCCAGTGCGACAACTACTTCGCAGCGTGCGTAGGAATCTGCTCTTGGAACTGAAGAACAAACGCTGAGGATTGTTGGTCATTCACAAAGTTGCTGCCTTCAAACCATCAAGTTCGCAAGCCCCCGCTGGGGACAATAGTGTGAAGAAGAGGTTCCTGCGAGTTGGGCGATACCTAGGGAAAGGGAGGGGTGTTGTGGGTCAGATATGTAAGATGTACATTATGTACGTCAGCAGGAAAAGCGCGAGCTCCAATGTAGTGAGCGACACACAATTCCCTCAACATTTAGGCTGTTGTATGGATATAGAATAGACAATGGAAGCGGTCCTCACCAAGAAAACATAAATCTGTTGCTACTCCGAGTTTCTTGAGTTATCAATCATCAGGCAACATTATCTAACTGAAGCAGGGTGTCAGATTCACTAAAGATATACACAGCCACACAGCAAGGCACACAAAGAGAAAGCGTGAAGCGTGAAGTGTGAAGGGGAGAGGCTGCTAGGTGGAGGAGGTATAACAATGTCCATTATTGTAACCTACCCTGAGTCGAGCGCGTAAATCCTGAGTGCACTAGCGCTGAACAAAGGTGTAAGATAATAGCGCATGCCTGGCGTCAGGGGGTGCAAGGCCATTGGGGCACGATATTGGCGTTAGTCGCAACAATATTAGTGCAGTATATCTAGTTCCATTGGTCATCATGTTGCTTTGACATAGAATACATGTATCTCTATCAGGGTGCTTTCGCATTGCTTCTTATACAAAATTAATAGTTTTATTATTGCACTCAGCGAATTGAGATAATCACCAGCGGGCTAAGAGGGTTTCCAGTACTGCATCTGCCAAGTGAAGTTGTCCTCGTACTGTCATTTAGAGTAGCATCTACAAGCAGGGGACGATGTCTCCTTACATGTACGCGACTATATGAAGAACAAGAACATGCAATAAAAGGAATGGAATGACTGTCGACTAGCACAGAATGTTAAGATGATAAATGTATGAAATTGAAGTTTAGGAATGCGACGCTGACTTCGCTCTTCAATCAAGAGCAATGGGATGCGTAGAAGGAATGTCAATGAATGAAGCTGCAGAATATTTATTTATTTATTGCTTCATCATCTCGTGGCAAGCAATGCCAATATTGAATGAGAGAGGAGTTGCTCGCAGACCAGACAAACTGAAGCTGGGCCTGTAATGCTTCGTGCTCTGGTTTCACTGTCATGCAAGCCAGCTCTTGATTATCAGGACGAAATGCAGCTGCTTGGGCCTGTCCATCATGAATTAATTTTTTACATTTTAAAATTGTTTCGGGTTTCAGTTGCATTTCTAAAATTGATAAAGATGGTATTTTTACCCGTACAAGCGGCTTGAGACACAAACAAATCCTGAATTCAATCGCTGCTTACCTTTTCTTCCAGATTTGGCAAACATGAGCGCCAAAATTCCTAGCCTTCCGACCTGGGAATACACCTTTAACTCAGATGATAATAAATCCAAATATGGTATGAAAAACAAAACGGGGATTGGATATTCATTTGAACAGCCTTCTCTGCACTTTAGCGATCAACAGATAGTCGACAGTGCTTGGAGAGTTGTTGCAAAGAGCGTTTCAGAAAGGCCCTTCCGGTGTAAAGAAGACAATGATTTTCTAAAAAAACGCTTAGGACCTGTGGCTGCGCCTTGATCCATAGGTGGTGTTCCCAGGGGTGCGGAAAATTCGCCCTCCTGCCGAGTTTCACGCGAACCGTGAATTCTTTTCTAATAATTATGATACTAAAATATACTGCCTTGTACGTTTGCAACACAATCGAACAATCAACTCTTTTACGGTCGGAGTAGGAAAGGCTTCTATACAATTACTGCGGATACTGTTGCGAAGAACTTGAACGCTGTGAAGTTCTTTAAAAATGTCACAGTTCGTATGAGACTCGGCTAAAGGCCGAGTTTTCCGCATCCGTAATAGCCTTGTCACACGACGGTTCGTGCTCACGATTTCACGATACCATGGTTCTACGATCCATGGCAAGACACTTCACACGACGACTAGCTCTGCCGACACGGCGCACGTGAGTCGGTCACGATTTGACTGTTGCCTAGGTAATTGTAGTGGAGGCACGTGTTTCGATGGAAATAAATCAAAATATTTTTTTATTTTCATGCCTCCCGGGAAAAATTCAAACTCTCTTTGCCTGATGTTGGAGTAGAACAAGACTGAAAAGACGACTTTGTTGCTTTGGCGTTCTTGACTGGATTTCTGGGACCAAGGATTTGACAAAGCCGCGTAGCTTTGCTCTATTTTTGCTGTTTGTTTTCCGTGGCCTTGGGCAACTGGGTCCGGACAGGGCAATCGGCTCACAACCTACAGGGTTTGGAGTGCCTCGTTCGATTTCCCAAATCCTTTTGGCCGTTCAGCCGTTTTGTTGCTTTGTCTTCTTTCGTCTTCTTTCGCTGCTCGCGTCATCATCATTATCAGTCGATTCAAGTAGGGAGCAGTAGATTTCGATAAGCATCCTTTCGGATTCTGGGCTGAATGTCCGGGTGGCCATTGTTCAGAAAGTCGGACCTGTGCTGCTGTTCAGGAAACGCTCAGTGAGAAGACGCGATCGCGAACACAAGCCAAACCAGTACAGGAAACACGAAATCGAAAACGAAAACGCACAGCCAGGGGGTCAGGATGTCGCGGGCAGACCGTCGGGTCTACGGATTCAGATTTCCCGCCATTTGATGATCGCCTTGGTGATCCGCCCGCGAGCCCGAACAGACGTGACTTTGTCCCGTCGTGTGAAAGGCCTATAAGAGGCTAAAGGCCGAGTTTTCCGCATCCGTAAGAACGCCACCACCCACTATGGATGAAGGCGCAGATACAGCTCCGAAAGCGGTGGGAGGTGAGTAGATCAGAGTAAACGATAGTTGTACCGGTAAACGCAACGATTTAGTTTCGCTTCGATCGTACTTTGTTGTTGTATAAACGCTAATCGTGGTCGCGCAAACGCCGCCTAAGTTCTTTAAATGAAGCGTAGAATGCGCACTAGATGTCTTTATATCATAACACAAAAATCTGTGGCGGCTGGTGCCTCAGAAAAGACGGACATAACAAGAACTGGCCATGTAGTTCGTGAAAGTAAGACCACGATATGATGCAGATCGTGTACTGCATGAACCAGGCCAGCATTATCAGTAAGGTGAGCTGGCAATGTATGTATCTTTACAGCAAAGTACTCCTTCGTACTCGACCGTGAGAAGCTTTGTGCAGATCAATGGTGTTGTTTTATTGGTGGTACTGACATGGCATAGCCAGGGAGTGTGAGGTTTTGTGAGTTTCCTACACGATAGCGAAATCAGCTGTTATGCCTAGAAAAATTGAGGAAAAGAAGAAGGACCAAAGGTCCCGAGTGTACGCTCTAAAGTACATGTACAAGCCGGTGTGCCTGCAAGACCATCCATACCTCCGTGCGCTGGTTCCGCCTCGCCAGGAAGCTAGCCAAACTGAGCCTCGTCTCACGGACAAGATTGCAGCTCCGTGTCCGCCATGAGCATCAGCTACAGTAAAAACAATGCTCCCTCTACTGTCCCCAACTTTCTCACGGGTTCGTTCTGCGTTCCCATGTGGTGTGGTGGATGAATGGACCAGGCTGCCGCAAGCCATGTTCCCGGAACCGATGCCCCAGCTGAAGTCTCTCCAATCCTCGAGGACGAAGGTCCACCGCCACTTGCGTCAAACTAATTGGCTCTGGGCAACGGACTCACTGTGAGTCAATGTCACCCGTCAATGAACAACTACGCTCGTCCATCATGTCTTTCTGTTAATTTTATTTCTCTTTCTCTTTCGTGTGGCTCTCTGTCTCTGGCCCTCTGTCCCTGTCTCTCTTTTCTCACTTGATCTCCCTGCCTATCTGCATTTCCTATCGATGCCTGGCCCGTAGGGTATGATTCCGAGATCTCCTGCCGGATGAGCCTCGCCAACCACATCGCCACATCGCCCCACTGCCCTTTGTCCTGTTGTCCAGTGTCACTTCATTTCTCCTCTTTCTCTGATTATTAGGAGGGCTGTGTTTGCTAGTAAAAAAGTCTGCAAATAATAATCTACGAGGAGATAACAATTTAAATTATGCTATGCATGCTATGAATGTTTGTTTGGAGAAGTAACGTTTCTCCGCGCTCTCCTTCGGGAGAGTGAACAGTTTTTATCAAATGGAGTGAAGGAGGGAATGGAACGAGGTATGAGAGCGCACGGACAGCCAGTGTTGAGTCTCGACTTGCAGCTGTTCGGCTTGGTTGGGCACCCGGAGACCCGTCAACGCGGGCACGGAGCTGATGCGAGCGCGCATCCGATGTTGCGCATACTAGTTGGCGGCGGCTAGCTGAGCTCGATGACGTGTACTATACGGCCTCAGTAACAGAACTTCCACCCCAACACTGACAACGCAATGGCTGCAGAATGTTGGAGTCTGCCTTGTTCGTCAAGTCCTGCCAATGTGTCATGCAAGTAATGTCTTCTTCCTGAACGTTAAACCTTTTTGCATCTGTACATGTGAAAATGGTTTACCGGTACCCATGTTGTGTAGCTTTCGACTACACAACAGAACAACAAGGACAATCAAGGCTTGTTTGCTGCTACTTTAAGTTTCATGCTCACGCAATCATCAGGCAACATGAAGATCGGGTGCCGACCATGCCGGTATATATGCCAGGAGAGGGTGGTATAAAAAGCTGTGTGAGACTGTCGACTACATGTCCTTGGTTCTCAGCTGTAGTCTATAAGTAGAATTGTACTCTCATGTATACTCTCATGTACTCTCTCGTGTTATGTCGCTTTGCCACTCTGTGCTGTCAGCTGTTATGATCCGTTTCCAGTTTTATTGTTGAATTTGACATTTCGTGTGTTCTTAGGACGGTCTTACTTTATTCATTTTTGCCTATTCTGCCGTTGCATGCGTGTGTTCACCTCATTGGCCTCGCTCGTTCCTTATTTCTTTAGTGCATTTGGCTTACGCGAACAAGGAAAATAATAATAATGAATAAGTTTTTTTGGAAACGTTTAGACCTATCTACCTTGGCTTGTGTGTTTGAAGGTTGAGTTCGCAGATTATTATTCATTGCATTTTAAAAACATTATTCACTGGTTTGATGGATCCGAAGATAAACACTAACGCTGGGTGGTTATTGCTGTAATTAAACTCGCTTATTGTCTGATTATCATGACATTCGGCGCTGAATAATGTGCTTTTGGTTTTGTTTTTGTTTTTACCTCAGCTGTAGTCCCATCCACTGATAGTCGATATTAGCGCTATTAGCTGAATTCTTATCGCGCTGCTTCTCACACCCAGCTCTTACTGACAGGGGAGTTGGCCTATATCAATGCTGATTTGAGAGCTTGCATTATCATTGTGAACCTGATGAAGGCAATTTGCCGAAACGTTGCAATATTGTGAAATGAGTTGAATTATTGCAGTGTTAATGGAAGAGAGCGTGTCGGCTCTACTCTTAACAATCAAATTTGGCACAACTTCTGCGAAAACCAGGCTTAGGGTGAAAATCATTTTTTTGAGAAAAATGATGTTTTGTAAAAGGGTTGTGTCGCGTGGACGTTCGAGTGCAGTGAAGTGGAACCAAAGAGAATCTCGCTTGTTTGAAGAAGTAGCAGTCATGGCAGGAAGGGTTTCAGCAGTCAGGGAAGTCAAAGGGCTTCCAGTAGAATATTCCCTGCTACTCCTCTAGTCACAACGAAGAGTTTTTGAGCTGACCGAACGGGTTCCATCTCCTTCACTCAGGGATGGCGAAATTTCTAGCTGCTGCTTGCGGAAAATGGTGAAGAAATCTTCTCCAGTTAGAGTCGTGATGGCGATAGCGAGGAGGACCTGGACGACATCGATCCAGCTAATCGAAGTACGGAGATACTAGCTGTTTCTGGGCCTCACGCAAAGGGAACACGCGCAGCAGAGCTCATACATTTGCAGCAAGTTCACGAGGAAAAAGGCTTGAAGCCGGTGCAGTGTGAAAACTGTTTTGAATTGAAGTCCTTGGCGATGAAATGCTACTGAATGCCAGGCGAATGAGCGAGCAGATCGAGAGGCCTCGGCCTCCACTCGACACTTCCCTCGCTAGGCAGCTAGCTGCAAGGGATTGTGCCATGTGTACGGCGTGGAGATAATCGCGAGATTTCACTTGCTGGTCAGCACCAAGCAGACACTGCAGCACGCCAGCACACAATGCGCATACTAGTGGAACAGTTTAAAAGGCCGTGTTCTTGCTTGCTTTTGAATAGTTGTACTAAATTCACCCTTCCAAAGCTGCCATCTCAACTGGAGTCGGGTTTCCTTGTGGTGTGTAGCGCCAGAGCATGCGAGTACATGTATTCAGCCCCAGAATGTGCTGAGTGAGGAGCAAACAAAATTCATGGAGAACTGTGCATGGTCACTACAGCCTGCAGCACCAATTCAAGGGGCCACAACAAGCCTGCCCCCACATGCCTACCTTGTCATGTCACCTAAAAATCATCCATGTCTCTTCCTTCACTCTGGTGGATCTCTCTTCATTTCTCTCCTGTGATAACAATTTTGTGTTTTTTTTTGGATTTTTTAACACAATACCCTGGTGTGTTTGAGGTGCTTTTAATACCACTATAAGTCTGCCCACACCTGTAATATTTTGTTTCCTGACTTCCCATGCCCAGTAGAAGCTGAAAATGGGAAAAAGTCATTTTGTGAAATTTCACCCTAAGCCTGGTTTTCGCAGATTCTGGTCAATAATGAATTAATCGAAACCTGACGAAATTGGCTAAGAATATGTTCTTTGGATTGCGAATACACCATGAATCAGTGGTCGGTGCATCTCTGACCTTTGAAATTGCGTCAAGACACATTTTCACTGGACATAATCCTGTGACGTCTCTCTTTGCGATAGGTATGAACGTCTTGTAAATGAACACGACACATGGCCTAATCGAACTACTGTATCTGTAGTACCAGCTGGGAAAGGACCACGCTTTTACCTTGCTGTTAGTGCACATATGTTCACATGCTCGCCTTTCGGACCCGCTTCTGTGTTTATTTTACCGGAACCGGTAGTGGCCATCTGTCGACCGGGATTACCCGGGATTTGTTGTCTAATACTTTGTACAAGCTTGTGATACATGCCAACTGTAACTATCTATGGTTCGTTCAGTGAGAACATCAGACAATGCGTCGTCAGAGAGTAGAATGCAATAAAATCGGAAAGTCTGGAGACTTGTATTTGTCTTCATCGAATGGAACATCGCCATCGTTTTTCATAGATTAAAGCTTGCAAACAGTTGTTGGTGGAGGCGATGTTTAGTGGCGCAAACGAAGGAACGAAGAGCAAACTGCATAAGAACCGGACAATACGTATCTTTCAGGCAAGTCTACCCTATTTTATAATTTATAAGTAGGTAATAGAACAATGACTCAGCAAGTGTTTGCATCTGAAGAATATACGCATTGGACCTTGAACTTCAGTTGAGCAGAACCATACCAAGAAGGAGCGAAGGAGTAAAGCAAATTCCAGTCTATGCACATTCTCGAAAAGCTGCATCACCAATTTAGAATGGAATCAACACAAAAAGATCACTATGACATTGAGATTCGCCACCTGCGACGATAGAAAACACTGTCTGTGCATGGTTCAAGATAACTAAAATTGTGCCACAAATTTACACTTCTTGATGGCCTTGATGCTCAGCCCAAATCGTCCAATTTCGAATGAAAATCTGATTATCGAGAAGTTCAATCAAACCACAGTTTTGCAAAGTCACGCCACGGACGGCTAGGGGCAGGTTCTATGACGAAATAATGCTCTGTTTTTTACTCCCTAATTCTCCACTGCACGAAGAGTGCTCAACTCCCCAATCGAGATGTTTGTATCATGATATGCCCAGCCTCCAGCGTAGCTATCGGTAGTAGCCATACATCCTCGCAACACTCCCCAAGCGGTCTCAATCGAGAACGCGCCATCAATATATTTTGTGGCTAGTGACATTCGATTCGTTCCGGGAAATACAGGTTTGTTGTATGGGTTACTATTGTCAGTGCAAAATTTCTTGTTAGACTAGGTAGAGGTGACCAAGCTGCAGTGTATAGCGCACTGACGTTTGGAGCGCTGCCTTGCGTGGGAGCCACAATATACATCTGTAGATTATGGAAATTCCTATCTGCATGTGTGCATGGCTCTTTATGTTGGTTATGTGAGCACCACTATTTTAAGATTAAGTTGACATGGAAGTGGGTTGCTTCTAGTTCCCTTTCATACGCTGCACCATCGCTCGATTTTGGTCCCAGAATACCCGCGTGTTTTTGCCCCTTTCGAGGCGTTCTCCTGATCCAACGTGTGTGTAAGTTGTGAACCTGCTGGTATTGCATTGCTTGTGTACTGAAGTAGGTTCCAAAGTAAACCCACTTTAATACTGATGTTTTCTTACGTTTTGGATCAAATGTGAAATAATGCGGACGCGACTGCCATCATGGAGCCACATTATTATATTCTGTAACCTCTCTGTCTTTAGCTCTGTGCGTGGTCCCGGATGTAACCAGGTGTTCCATCAATATGAAGCTCTCGGAAGGGTTTCTTGGACTTCTTTGCGTTTCGGCTGTCTTATGGAATGGATACAATGCTAAGCCACACGTGGGTAAGCCATCTTCACTACGTGGAATCATCGGGTCGGATTTCGATGCCACATTGTGTGTTGCAATTATTTTCATAAAACTGATTTTAATTCGACAAATTGAATTTTAACTTTTCATATTACCCAATGCTGTAAGTGACCTGAGCTACTGGCGATGGTGCAAATGAGGCACCACCGACAGCGATGCGTTATGCAGCAGCACTTGAGCATCCCCCGAGAGACATCAACAAGACGAATACAGAGGAGCGTAATTCCCAATGCTGGAGAGAGCAGGCTGTTTCGACCAGATGAGCATGATCAATACAGCTACGAGTTTTAAGTAAGATATTTATAAGCACCCACCGGTGGAAAAGAGGCATATAGGACACTAACATAATTCGTCACTCTAAAGCCATTTCTTCCATTTACATCTATCATGTCACATTCTCTGTCCACCCTCCACTCCACTCGTTTCGCACGCATCCCCACATTCACTCGTACATGTATGTGTACACCACTATTGAACACGGCAATATAGCACCACAAAGCTCACTCAAGTCTACGCACAAAGACAAAAGAGGCCGACCCTGCACTCGTCACCTCCTTTTATCCCACACTGTGTTCCCTCATACCCATTCCCGGGTGGACAGAGAACACTAAGTCTCTGCTAATTCTTATACTGTGACGTCAAATGCATAAAAGTGATATTTACCTGATAATCCTGACTACGTGAAACTCTGAGCTGAAACACACATTCCCCTCTCTCTTGTATGTCACATGTATCTCTCTCTCTCTCACTTGTAGTTAGGTTATGCATCGTCATTAAAATTAATTATGGAAACCGCACAGTTTGTCCTCTTGGTGGCGATATTGAACTTTTCTCAACGAAATATTTGCTGGGTGGGAATGACGGAGTATTTTATTTCATATGTTTCTACTTCAAAATAAAGGGGGGGGGGGTGGTTGTCAACTGACAACCGTTGTATTTAGTTGATATTCACTATTTAGATGAAAATTCTTTTTTTAACCCTTTCCGTGCGGCTGACGTCTATACCCAAACGACTAATGACGTCTATAGACATCATGAAATCTGCGATGTCGAAAAAATATTGACGTTTCGGGCCAGTCACCCATCGTCAGAAAAATGTACAAGGGGCGACCCTGGCCTTTTATAACGAAAGCAAGCCAGAGCGAATGTATGTCAATGTACAAAACCAACGAAACACACAATAGCCGTATGCAATTCAGTGTATGAATTTGCATGTACAGCCGACAAGGAGAAGTGCGCTGAAAGAGTGAGTATGCAGCAGCTCAGCAGATAAAGCGCAGGAAATGTGTGTACGAAGGTGATTACCGCGATCATTGCGTGTACAACCCTGTGCAGACATGGCAAGATTTAGCAGTTTCACTGTGAGGATGCTAGCGCCTTCAATGGCCATCCGAAATAGATATTGATCTCCGGACGATGCTCTCGAATCTCGATGGACTCTCTAATTTTTCTTCTGGCCATCTGTGGTTCTACAGCCAGTACTTGGGCCTCAATGAAAATCACATAATTATGTGCTCTTAAGAGAGCATGTCTGAGAAAACCAGAACAATATTTTATGCAAGTCGATCTTTCAGATTTCGCTCAAATTTTGCAGGTAGGTTTGCTTTGGGGTGTGGAGCGACATTCCAAGGCCCGCTCAAAATATTTTTAAGGGAACCATGAAATTGGCATACTAGTACCCCTCAATATTGGCCCAACATTGGCACGATTTATGGGTCTACAAACGAGCCACGGCACAGCGTCCAAGAACAAGCTACGAACAAAACTCCATCAAGCCAACATTACCTCACCTTAGAAGAGTTCTTGGGGCAGCACCACTTAGCCACGCCAGCATCCCAGAAGACAAAGGCCATCATCCCTTAACGCCACAGATGATCGTCTTGATAATAGACCCTGAGGGTTTCACCGACATACCGCTTCCGACACAGTGCATACTTCTTCATAAAGAGAATGCTGGGGGAATCACGCATGCAGCTTGGCAAACCAGAGGAGCATGAGATCCAGGGGTTGAATGGTCTTCCTCGTCTCCATTGTTCTTGGCACCTCACTCGATATTGTTTCACGCTGCACTTCGATGGATTCAGCGCTGACTTCACGAGGGCATCTTTTAGGTTCAGAGTGTGTTCAGACGCAACATTGACAGGGAACCCCGAGCGCTCGACTGGATGCTTCCCTTTCCGCTGAATGTCTTCTGAGCGAAAGGGTAGCTTCAGTATAGCGACATCATTTTCAAATTATGGCTCATGTTGTTGTTGTTGTTGTAGAAGTTTATTTAACGTCGCACCACAAACAGGCGATTTCGCCTCCTTTGATACATGTGGACGACAGAAGGAATGAGAGAGAGAGGGGGGGGGGACAGAAGTATGGAGAGAGGAAGGGTAGAAATAAATAAGCAATCAACCTCAGGGCTACACCAAAGCAAAAACGGAATGGGAACATACTATATACAAAATAGCTTCATACATATATTGCAAAACACGTTTACTATTCTTCAGTCCGCTATACCACAGAAACACACTAGCCGAAAAGCATTTAAACGGAGCCATGATGCGCTTTTAGCAGGGCACAGAACTGAAGGTGGCTGGGCTCGGAACGGAGATCAGGCGGGAGCTGGTTCCACAGGACTGCGCCGATGAACTGCATGGTCGCTCGACCCGCAGGACCGGGCCAAAATGGTACTAGAACGAGGTGATGTGCTGCTCCCCGAGTGCGGTCACCAGTAACTCTCACGAAGAAGCTGGTGAAGAGGGAGCTAGCTCGGGAGAACAGACAACGACGGACAAAGATGAGGAGCTTAATGTTAAACATGTCCTCCAGGGTGGTGAGGCGGAGCTGTTCAAAGATCGGGCTCGTGCGCGACCACGGTGGCAGACCGAAGAAGCCGCGGATAGCGCACTTCGTTAGACGTGTGAGGGGCTCCATGTTGCCAATTTGAAGTGACGGATAAAAGGCGTTGGAAGCGTACGACAACCTACCCTGGATCATCGACCTGTAAAACAGGATCTTTGACGCCAGGGTGAGGCTTCGGCGGCTCCGCCACAGCGCACCTACTGACTTCCGCACCTGCTGGATTGTGTGATTGACGTGAGGCTTCCAGGAGAGCTGCCCATCTACCATTACCCCCAGGTACCGCGCTTGTTCCACAACTGCAAGGGCTGCATTCCCACAGCGAATTCGAATGTTATCTGTGTCAGGGGCTGGGCCTCTTGGGGTAATCAACAGAGCTTGCGTTGATTACATGTTGTTGGGCGGTGTGGCAACTTTTTGCGACCAATCTCTTCGATGATTACCTCGGGATAGTTGGTGCTTCGCAGCAATTTCTTCGCCATACCGGGACTCTCACAGGCTTGTGCCGGTGAGGACGAATTCTTTCGACCCCTGACAAAGTGCTGCCTACCGACCACACACTTGACGGAGCGATGCACTTGGGAATGAAAGTCCACGTTGACGCCACTGTCACTAGGCTTCCTGTACAGGCGGTGTGTAATGGTGCAGTCAGGGGTAAATTCAAAAGCGAACATCAAGAAATGGAACCGGTCCATTTTCACTGCTTTCGTAAGTGAACGTGATACTAGGGTGCTGGCTATTGCAATGGGCAATGAGTACCTGCAGAGCAGCTGAGCCATAGATCCAAATTGAATTTGTATCTTCGATGTACCTTGTGTAGAGAGATGGCTGGAGGGTGGCTGTCTCAAACATACGGATCTCGACGCAGTACATGAAAACAATAGCAAATGGAAGAGCGAGTTGGTTGCATGCAAATTCATACGCTCAATTGCATACGGCTATTGTGTGTTTTGTTTGTTTTGTACATGGATATACATTCGCTCTCGCTTGCCTTCGTTGTAAAAGGCCAGGTTCGCCCCTAGTACATTGTTCTGACGATGGGTGACTGGCCCGAAACGTCATTAATATTTTTCGACATCATTAATAAAAGAATTTTCATCTAAAGAGTGAATATCAACTAAATTGAGCGGTTGTCAATTGACAAACCCCCTTCTATTTACAATGCAGTTTCGTGATGTCTACCACTTTCTGAATTCTACTTCAAAGTTCAAATTATCGGTACGCATTTGGCGCTGGTGCACGTTGATCAGTTTTTTCTTCCTCATTCTGTTTCTTTTGCCAGAAACCTTCAATTGTAATGTTGCGACTGGCATGCATCTTATCAGCAAGAATCGGTGGGCCAACACATCAGAATCCTCTGTTCATACAACGTGTGCCAGCGTCGGATATATAGTCATTACCAGAGTGGAAGCTGAAGGGACATGTGTTCAAGCATTCGTGAACCATATAAGTGACAGAGTTGGATCAAGCACTGTGATCTGGGTTGATAATGGCACTTCCATCTCTTGTTACAAGAATACAACTGGTCCATGCCCCACACTTGCTACACCCGTTTGCAAACGCACAGGGACAATTGCAGGTAAGCTTTAACCACACTCGCTTTGTACTGTATAACGTAAGCAAAATGTTGGGGGGGGGGGCTTCTGGTAGACCTGGTTTTAAAAAGGATTTAAGATATTCGAATGGAGCTCAGTAGTTTGACGTCCAGTAAGCCCTTGCTATGTCACTTTAACCGTATAGCCACCCTACTGTGCCACGTTGTCTGTACGGTTCGTCAGATCTGCTGGCAGGAGAACCCGTCATCAGAGGTCCAATGAATGGTCTGCTCAGTCAGCCATTCTCCAGTCGCCCTGGTGCTTCTCCGCCGTCCGTCGCAGGATCTGAACTCTGAAACCTGCTGTGGGATGATGTTCGGACCATAGCAAGATAGAAAAAGTTTAGCATAAGCTGCTTACCATATTGTTGCTCAGACTAGCCCGCCCCTAGCTCTCCTCGACCACCCTGGCACCCCTGATACTCGCTTGACTCCTCTGTCAGATACGTCTTCTTTCGTAATTTTCTAATTCCTGTCTTTTCTTTTCTAAATTCTGCTTTTCGATTCACCTTCCTATCATTGGGCCTAGGTCCCATTTATTGTGCGAACTAGAATAGACCAACCATCCGGTCAGCCAATTTGAGTGTTTGTTAGGTACACAATAGAATGGTTACCACCCTCTTTCAGAAATAAGGCAATGGCGCAGTTACCTCCGTGTTATTATAAACCATCTGGACTTAATTACATTCGTATTGGCCTCGTTCTATTATTTTTGTCTTTCTCGATATTCAAAGCTCCGGGAAGTACAAGTTGCCCACGGTTCCAGGGCAACTTTCTGCCAAATGGAATGCTTACATATCCCTCCGGTACAACTTTCCCCTCGCAAGCTCTCATCGATTGCAATCCTGGATACTACTCTTCAGGTCTTCCATTACTTAACTGTAATCCGGATGGAAGTTGGTTTGGAATTTTACTCTGCCAAGGTGAGTTTAATACCAGGAACACACCGACTGTCTCTATCCGTGTGTTGGAGTCGGAAGTGTGTGCGTACTTGTCGTAATAGGAAAGCCTCAGTGTATATTCATTTGGTCTCTATTCCTTATGCTCGCTCCCCAAAGTGAAATCGATGATACGCTTATTGTTAGTGGCAGCTACAAGGCAATTGAAATACCTTGACAGCGCAATAAGTAGCATTTTCTATTGTAGGGAAAGAAAAACTACAAATTCCGGGCTATTCTTCACCATCATCAGCTATGAGGACTCCGAAATTCATTAACCAGTTTTCGGGCATTCTCTTCAAGTGAAATACAAGCAACCAGAAACAATGAAACATAGGGATAAGTAGCATCATAAGGGATGTGACCATATCAACTATGTGATATATTTAGCGAAGAATCTATGCACCAGGAGTGATAAGAAAAAAAGGAGAGAAAGAGAAGGTGAGAGGTGAGATAAGAGGAACTAAAACACACACTGTGTAAAGACAAACACCAAATGGATGTGACATTAACTAGTGGGATCAGCTGATGATGATGCTAAATGATGGTAAAGAATAGCTTGAGATTTGTAGTTTTTTCTTTCCCTGCTTTAACTTCCTATCTCCAAGAAATGTATTCCTTTTTTCCTCATCACAGCATATGATTGCAAATCCTCACTAGCAATTCGTCATGGAAAGATTTTGGGCACATCACCGCTGTTTACTGCGAGTTGCAACCTTGGTTACAAGCTGGTAGGTGATCCTCGGATAACATGTACCAGCGCCATTGGAAGCACAAAGGTACCATCATGCTCACGTGAGTTAAAATTAATTTTGGTAACGAATACGCCTTCTGATGATGGTTATTTGCCGAAACGTCGAAAAGGACTCTGTGAACAGAGCTGTGAATTTTCATTTTCTATGGAAATATCATTAATTTTGTGCTCATCACTTCTCTCAATACTTGCCTCTTTGTGATGCCATTGTAAATTCAAGTACACTGTATAGCATGAAAAAAGCGAAGAGGACGTTCTATTTATCCATTGTGCAATCGACTCTCGACTATGCCAGTAACATTTATCTGCACTGTCTCAGCGCCACCCTATTCAATAAGATCGTGACGGTCAGTCACATAGCAATGAAGAAGGTTTTTGGGTTTGACCGTATGATGTCTACTGAAATTGTTCTCCGCAAATATCATCTCTATTCTTTTGAACAGCTCATAAATCTTAAAATCTATGTTTTTGTGTACCGCTGCTTGACCCCACATCTTGCTAGTCCCCTTCTCCAATCCTTATTCCAGCTTAGGGCTGCTGTGCTTAGACACCAGGCTCGCATGCGCGGCCAGGCACAGCGTGCATTAGTTCTTCCGCTGTTTCTACGCAATATGGCATGCGTTCTATTTCTTTCCTGACGGCGGACAGATGGAATGCTCTTCCCACTGACTGCCGTCAGGCCCCGTCTCTTACTCTGTATGTAAACATGGTAAAAATTCACCTAGGGTTCCCAGTAAAAAGGCAACGCCTGTTGGGACTCCCCTAGTAAAATAGTAAAATCTACTTGTATTACTACTACTACAACTACTATGAACAAGTTGCAAAGTACTCGCATCTATTCTATGGTGAAATAGATATACAAAAAAAGATTGATTTAAGCGCTACAGTAAATGTGCTTTAATAGTAATACTACTGCCCAAAATTCACAAAAACACCAACTCACTGTGCTAACCCACGGCAAGGTGGATAGAGTCAGTCCGTGTCATGTAATTATAAAGATGGCATTGTCGACACTGAGGAGATCGACATTATTGCTACTACAAGTATTTTGGGGATCATGCAGAATCTCATATGACTCAATAGCCCAACACAATATAAGTTAGAAGACATTGAACGGTGGACACTTTAAATGTATAGGATGTGATGAAAAGAACATGTGGATCGACATGTGTTTCGGAGTACATGTACTTGATGTTTCTAAGCACCACCAGCTGGAAGTAAAGTGCAATACAAATGATAAAACAGGAAATAGAAAATAAATTACGATATTTAATGCATTCTATGAAAGTTTTGCAGTCATGATGATTCTTCATTGGATCAAGAATGATTTAAGCACTACAATAATGTGCTAATTGTTGTAATTATAGGAACACTACTGCTCAAAATTCACAAGGACACCAACTCACTGCGCTAGCCTACGTCAAGGTGGATAGAGTCAGTCCGTCTCTCCAGTCCGTCCGTCCCTCCAACCGGAATTGGTTATGCATCTTGAGAACAGTGGACCAGTTCCCTTATCATTGTTACCAAAATGTATAATCGGAATCCGTGACCTGACTTGAAAACCGACACCTCTTGATCACCAAAACGTGTCAATCCATTCTTCGACTCTGCATACCTGGAACCTGAAAACGTGAACTTAGAGGAAGCTATGTTACCCTTCTAAGGAGATAACGTGATGCTCATCATCCCATACGAAGTCGGCTACTGAATTTGTATTCGCAGGAGCACGTCACTACTATAGCTCTTCATGAACCTTTGTATCACAGGAAATACCAATTTACCTATACTTCAAGAATCATTTCAAAATGTTGAAGGACGCTTCACGCAGCTTCATTACACTTGAATAGTTTGCAGGCAACCTGCCTACACTCAAGAGAGCACTGCATTTCACACAGATCCATTAGAGGTATCGTTTCAACATTTCGGTCTTCATGACCATCATCAGGAATGAAGTGGACATGGAAAAAACAGCAGTATAAAAGAAGGAAGCAAAGCGCGGAACCTAGTGACAGCGCGCGTAGAGAAGTCCAATCATTAGTGTCCTTTCGAAAATAGTTTACTTAAACACTTTTTTTACTTGTTTAGGGGAACGACACTAACTGGAAAGTCTGAAGTTTGACATTCTAGAGTAAACACAAAAGGACCGAGAAACTGCAAGTTACGCTTACTATAATGTCCACTAACACCACCAGTTACTAAACAATCAGCTTACATGTATGCGATAACATTGCACGACACTGACGGACGGTACTGACCTTCTACAACTAACTGGCTAACAGCTCTTGCACATCTTGGATGATTGTTTAGTAACTGGTGGTGTTAGTGGACATTATTGTATGCGTAACTTCCAGTTTCTTGGCCCTTTGTTATCCTTGGCTCTCCATCCAAGTCGATTTTAAAATTCTAATTTCAATAATTTTTATTTTCTCTGAAAATAGAAATGTTTTATTGCGCGCTACCAACGGTAATTCAGAATGGGACAGTATCAGGAAGCTCACCGCTTTTCACTGTTAGCTGTGAACGTGGTTTCAAGCTGGTTGGCGATGCTCAAGTTATATGTACCAGCAATACAACAACTACCTGCGTGCCGCAATGCTTGCGTAAGTTTTTCTGATGTGTAGCTGTGTGATTAACGGTGACCACCTGCCTATTGCATTCTTCCTACTACCCTAAACAGTTGCCAATATATAAGATAATGAAAAAATCTCCAGTTACGCTTCCATAACTGAAGCCAGGGCCTTAGCTATTCTTGAGGAATGCTAGCCTACTGTCATACTGTGTGGATGAAGGATAAAGGGGCATCGGTTTGCAGCAAAAGAAAAAAATTGGCGCGAGAAATCTCTTCTCACCTACTGCGCGGGGCTCGCTAGATGAGAAGCAATATACATGTAAAATGTAACACGAACATATAGAACCACGAAAATCATTGATAGAACAAGCAAATGGGGAAATAGAGGCAAGTCCTCCATGCACGTCACACACGCACAAACGCACTCAAGCACACGATACTTTCCAGTAGACTATGCTCCCCTCTACATTCTTTCCATATTACCGGTAGCTTTCCAGGTGCAGGAACAAGACCAGCCAAAGCACGCATGTTTCTTTTCGTGTGAGTAGTCAACTTTAGAGGTAAAACAAATCAAAAAATCAATCCGGGTACAGAACTGTTTCGGAAAGATTGTTGTTTTTGTGTCTTTTGTTCGTCCTGTTTAGGTCATACTGAGGGGAAATTGTGAAAATATCCGTGGTTACCATGGATAGTTGCCGCTGAGCAGGAGATTTGAGAGATTTAATCCACTCGATGAAATCCAGCTCGAGGCCCCGCTTTTCCGCCGAAGATTATAATCATGCGCTGCTTCCACTGGATTTCTTTATGTTTCCTTATGTTTTATTGCGTTCTGAAGTGGAGCAATACTCTAAAGGCTGTGCTGATGCAGCTCTGGCCCAGGAGCGGGGTTGACAGTCAGCCAGAAGCGAATGGTGACAAAAAAGTAGCTCGTGCGAGTGAGATTATTTTAATTGTGGCCGTGATGAAAAGCAGAAGATATTAGTTTATAATCTGAGGATTGTTCCCTCAATGTGACCGGCCCCTAACTCTTGGTTTCGCCTAGTTGTAAGTAGTAAGATACAGTTTGCACATCCGAGTTACCACAGGCTTACGATCGTGTTATGAAACACAACCAGCTTAGAGAAGTTTCGCTCGTGCCGGGCCACCACCATGCCTGACTATACCAGGGTGGGAGATGCAGCGCCATAAACGGCGAGGGTGAGGTGGCTAGTATCACGACCAGTTCCCAATAAGGGGGCGAACCTCGTTAGTTCCATCTCTCTTTCATTGGGGTAAGTTGCTTTATTGGCGAGGTGAACCGCTGTTTACCTGCTACAAGAAAATGAAGCTGGGCAGCAAAAACCTGGTGACATTAGCGTTGGTAATCTCAATCTTTTTGGGAAGATTGATGTTTCTTTGTGTCTTATCAGAAAGGCAACCTTTCATGATTTTATTTTTATCAGCAGTGGAAGTGCTATTGTCAGGCCAATCGATGTGACCCTTAGACATCAACCATCGCGGTGCTCCGTAGAGTACGCTAGATACATGTAGTTTCATGACATGTGTACACTTGAGTTGGCGGTGATATCTCTTGTCTTCAAAGGTTACAGATCCAAGCGCTTCCAGAAGAGTTGACTTTCCTTTGACTCTGCGTACGCCATTACTGGAATGTCTGAACCCGTGTTCGAGATTGTCGCATTAGCACGGCCTTACTTACAAGTACATTCACGCCAAAACAATGCTTATCTACGATCATTCAGCAGCCTTCGAGTGCAGGAAATCAGGGATATGCGCAGCATGCACACGTGCTGGTTCACCGCTATGCCTAACTTTATAAATATGACAAATGATTCTAAAGAAGCTCTGGGTACATTGTGAAGAAGAGGTTGGTGCGAATTCGGCGATAGTTGGGGAAGTGTGTGTTGCTCCCTACAAGTCGGCAGGAAAACCGCGAGCTCCCATGTAGGGAGCAACACACACTTCTGGGTACATTACAATTTTTAATGCCATATAAAAAAAGTGTCAATCAAAGAGTGATCTATTCTTGTGATTTTTCAGAAATTACCTGCGGTGCTCCTTTGACCCCGGTAAATGGACTTACCACTGTACACTCGCTCACTACATTCAGTAAGGCGTACTACATCTGCAAGGCTGGCTTTGTGGCAGTGGGGGATACCTCTACTACCTGTGAGGCCGACGGATCTTGGTCTGGTAGACCACCTATTTGCGTCCGTGAGTACTCTCTGAGGAGTGATATTCCAAAATACTCGTTACACCAGGACGATACATATCCTTTGTTATCATTGTCTTGAAAATGACATTAAGATGGCTTTTAGAAGAATTTGTAACCGACGTTTACAAGATCTTGGATGGGGGTGTATTGTTGTATTTATTACTAGGCAATCCCAACCTCATTAAAGTACTTTATCCACCGTTCCTGTTCCTGTCCCTTTGCCCGTATTTGCCTGTATTTGCCTGAAGAGATAGATACTGGCTCTTAACGTCTAAATAGCAGAACTTCATGAGCGACTCTGACTGACGCTGCTACCTGGGGTTTCACGAGGTGTTTGTCGCGCTGGAAACGAAGCGCCTCTGTAATTTTGTGTCCCTGGTTATTGTTTGGCCTGGAGAGCATTATATATGTGGTGCAGGCACAATCTTCCTCAGCCTACTCAAGGTCAACTGATGCGGGAGAATTCCCCGAAACACTGTGTATTGAGCAAGGAGTGGTGCCTTCTTGCAGGTTTGCCCAGTGTGAGGCGTGGCGTGATCCTCTTTCGCTCTGGATGGCAGTCGTGAATCAGTCAAGTGTCACGTTCGGCAGAAAGCGTGTGTGCCTCGTTGGAACAATCCACTTCCTTACATTACTAACGCTTAATCGAAATAGACGAATTGAGGCCTCTTGGCATTAGAAGTTTCTCACATCACAAATGGGTATAATCTTCGACCTGGATCCACTCAGAATAGTCGACACGAGGACATACTCGTGCATATTTCTCAGGTCAGTAGACCCATTCAGGGAACTTACATAGAATGTATTGCAATGGCAGAGGAGTTTGTTGCGTGAAATGCTAGCTTTCGAGAACCAAATCGCGCCTACACCCTGATCTCGTTTTGACTGCCATCTTGTCTCCTCAAAAAAGAAAACAGTTCATAATGGTCACCAATAATTGCAAAGCGTTTTAAAGTAAAGAAACGGCTCGTTTTGGAGAAATCTTAGCTTTTACACTATGTGGTCTTTACAATCACAAGAGGTTAAGAAAATACATCTCTGGTAACTTGTTGGAAGGCTAAGTATTTTACTGCTTTGTTGATCCTGCTTGAACAGAAATACAATGCCCACAACTTGCTCCCCCCAATAACGGTACCATTGAAACAAGCTCTCATTCTGTATTTGGTGTCACCGAGTTTCGATGTGGTGAAGGATACTCACTCCTCGGCAAATCATCAGCAGTTTGCATGAGTGATGGGAATTGGTCCTCAGCTACACCCAAATGTGAAGGTGAGACTATTCTCAAATGCAAGCTTTTCGGCCGTGGAACGATAGCGAAATGTTTGATTTGATTGAGTCCAGAGAGTCCCTGATGGAATTACTGAGAATTTCTATGTCCGCTGATGATTTAGCTATAACTACACGCCATAGGTTCCATTTTCTTTCCGGGACGATATTGGACCCAACTGCAGCATGAACTACCAATGCGACGCTATAGTTGAGATTTGCATTCTGATATTGAACCTTGAATGGATTGAACAATTCCGCCATGCTTCCAAGTTTGAGAGGGCCGAAGCAGTTGGTTTTCTAATAGATTTTCGCAAGCCTAATAAAGGAAAAGATTAATAGGTAAGAATGGACTTGGATGGAGAGCCAATGATTAATTTATAATAAGGAAAAACGACTAAGGAGCTACAAGCTACGCTGTAATGTCCACTAACACCACTTGAGCTGATTGTTTAGTAACACCACCGATTGCATGAGGGAACTGATACAAAAAGTGCATGATCCCGGTCGGATTCCAATGAACACCTCGTGGTACCCACGTAGCAGCTCTTTACACTATGTGGCTGGTACAGTGACAAGGGGTTAAGAAAATACATCTCTGATAACTTGTTGGAAGGCTAAGTATTTTACTGCTTTGTTGATTCTGCTTGAACAGAAATACAATGCCCACAACTTGCTGCCCCCAATAACGGTACCATTGAAACAAGCTCACATTCTGTATTTGGTGTCAGCGAGTTTCGATGTGGTGAAGGATACTCACTCCTCGGCAAATCATCAGCAGTTTGCATGAGTGATGGGAATTGGTCCTCTGCTACACCAAAATGTGAAGGTGAGACTATTCTCAAAATGCAAGCTTTTCGGCCGTGGAACGATAGCGAAATATTTGATTCGATTGAGTCCAGAAAGTCCCCGATGGAATTACTGAGGATTTCTATATCCGCTGATGATTGAGCTATAACTAAAAGCAATGGGTTCCATTTCCTTTCAGTTGTTTACTCACACCCCTGAGCCCACTAGTTAATTAATGTAGCGTCCAATTCATGTTTATCTTTACACAGTGTGTGTTCTTGTCCCTCTTGTCTCACGTCTCACCTTATCTTTCTCTTTGCTCTCTTTCCCCCTTTTTCTTACCTCCCCTTCTGAATAAATTCTTCGCTACATTTATCACCTAGTTGTAATGGGTACCACCCTTGTGATGCTACCTATCCCTATGTTTCATTGGTTCTGGTTGCTTGTCTTTCATTTGAAGAGAATGCTCGAAAACTGGTTCATGAATCTCGGAGTCCTTATTGATGATCATGGTGAAGAATAGGTTGATATTTGTAGTTTTGAATTTTTTGACATGTTGTCGCACTCCTTGATTGTATATGATCTGGGTACTTTGTTGGACAGTTAGTCATAACTCGTAACAATTTGGTCGTTCTCCTTTTTCATATTGAATAATGTTCAAGTTCTTAGAAGTCCTAATTCTCCGGCCCCTAGTAGGCCTTGGCGGATAATGCCGGCAGAACAATTGGCAGAATTCGGTACTTTTTCTGGTAGGTTTCATGCATGTTTGGTATGTGGATAAAGAAATGGAGCAGAATTCGAGGAATTGCACGCCATAAGGTTTGTATGGTTCTGCCAATTTCACTGCTTTTCGAGCAGAATCTGCCACCTTTTCGAGCATTATCCGCCAGGGCCTAGCCCCTAGGCGTGGTATATTTCAAGCAGTTGCAGCCTGCTTTTAGTCACCAGCAGAACCGTAGTCTGTGAATATCCTAAAGTGTGTTAGCAGACTGTGCCTAACTGCCTATTCACTTCTTCACAAAGTACTGATTTGTCTTATATTAACTATCATTGAAGATCTACAGCGAAAGATGTTATTTATACGTATGCTTCCTTAGGGAATTGGTGCAAAGAAATACCTATTATCAATAACGGGCGCATCATATCGTCAACCACACTCCATACAATAGGAAGCTTGTCTGTTGTCGTTTGTTCCGTTGGATTCTACCTTGTCGGCAATGCAACTGTTCAGTGTACCAAAAACGGAAATTGGGATACAACAACATTTCCCACGTGCGTAGGTAAGTAAACTGAATGAACTAATATTTCACAAAATGGCTCTCCCCTTCCCGTTGAATTTTCGCTAGACGATAAAAGTGATCAAACATGGAAAGAAATCAAGTAGAATCAGCGATGCGGAAATTGGACGTAGTGATGAACAAGAAAATATGGATAATAAAATTTCCTAACCGATTTTTAAGAAACAATCATGAGGGAAATGCGCAAAGAGGTTCTAAATTTTGCTCCCAAGTTAGGCCACTTCTCTGTGACAAAAACACGCTTGGCTTTGTTTAAATAACAAGAACCTTTAGGCTGGAGGAAAAAATTGGAGGCGCATCCAATTTCGAAAGAAGTGTCAGCACCGACGCAAACCACACAGTCAAGTAAAGCCAGCTTTAGTATCCGAACGTTTCGTTCCCGTATTATCATGGGTAAGTACAGGGAATAATGGAAACATGTCAAATAACTGCTACTTATTGACCCTCACGAAAGCCACTGATCAAGACAACGGAAAAGCCAGACACCAGACGAGTGACCGGACTGTGTGGTAGAAGGGACGAGTCAGGACCTGCAACATCGTAACTGACCACAAGGCATTGCGCAGTGGAATGCATAAGTCAAGTGCAGGGATATTGGAGGCGAAGAACAAGATGCGAGATTCTTAGTTGAAGTGAGGTGAACGGAGAAGATGGTTTCTCAGTTTTTGCCCGTTGTAGATCTGTATTACATTTGTCTGTTTTGGTAGGGTTGTATTTAGAAAAGCGATCCTGTCAGCTTTTCTATTATTGTGTTCACATGACGCTACCTAACGACACCGCTATTCAGACACGTTGTCTACGGAGCTACGTAAGTTTCTACGTAAGATGCTCGGTACCTGGTCCTGGACAAGGGCCTAGGGAGCTACTCCACGGCTCCTACCATCGCGCGGCCGGCTGGCGTGTGCATTGCAGACTTTTTGTTGTTGCCTTTTCGGATGTGCATGCACGAGGAACTTCCTTCTTTGGAACTGCTTCTTGCATGAGCTGTTTCGGATATTTCGTCTCCTGGCCTGGCTTATTTCGTTTCGGCGCTGCTGAGACCTCCTTTCGCGGAATATTACTCAATGACAGGTGAGTTGACCAGTTCCCTTTGATTCATTTGCTTGTGTTGACTCTTTCATTTACGAAAAGTGTGCTGATTTTGGGCGGAATGCAATAAATAATGGAAAAGCTGACAGGATCTCCTTTCTAAATTTAGCTTTTCCGCTGCCGAGGCCTCCTAGATCCTGTTACGGAATACTCAATGACAGGTGATCTCTGAGTTGACCAGTTTCCTTCGATTCATTTGCTTATGCTCACCCTTTCATTTACGGAAACGTGTGCTGATTTTATTCGGATTTAGATCCATTTTTATCTCTTTGCCCTTGCCTACAGTGTGCGTAGAAGGCGAGTTCACCTTCTTGACGGTAAGGCTTATGTTAGATGTGTTGTCAAAATACTCATATTCATTGCACATTAGTACGTTACAAGTAAGGGCCTACTAAGGCACTGGTCAGTGGCATACTATTGTCGGCAGTTCCCAATCTGGACGGAAAGGTTCAAGGACTCATTGACCGAGTTTGCCAAATAAATTCGCATATCAGGGAAAATCTCCATTGTGGAGAGGTTCAGTAACTTGTTTGCTTCATACGAAACAAGCCAATGGGTGCAGTGTCGTCTCGTGAAAATCTCGTTCTTGTATGATTGGACTTGTTTACTCGAGTCTGGGCTGTTTGATTTGTGAGTACCGCCGAGATTGCACTGCCCCAAATAAAGTTTCGTGCCGCCAAAGCAAGAATTACGATCTGCAATCTGTTTGTAGTACCTGAAAGAATGTGCAGTACATGTATCGTACTTTCTCTGTTGCTGTTTCAGTTGCCGTCATGTTGCTTAAGAAACGTTCAGTAAAGAGGTTCTGCAAAACGAAAATTCGAACGAAGTTTCGCGACAGTCCTTGCGAAAGTGTGTACGAATTTTTGCACGAACTTTGCGTTCTGCACATTTTCGTAGTTTGCGCGGGCCAAGTGCACGTACGCCATGACCCGATCTCACGAAATGTCCTACGCCAGTTCATTTCGCGTTCCCTGCAAGTTTCGCGTCCAAAGTTGCGAAAGTTCGTGCGAAGTTTCGCACTTCATGATGTAGAGCGAAAGTTTGTACGCATTTTCGTTTTGCAGAACCTCTCTTGTGACTCTTTTGTTTCATACGAGACGAGTCAATGAGTCGATGTGGCTTAGAATCTTTCGCTGTAGAAGAAATCTATTTGTATGTCTATTGGAGAAATAATAATTGTATCCACTGGTTATAAAATAGGTTAAGACAAACTCACAGAATAAATACCATCGGTCCCTTGGTGTTCGTCCTAAAAAAGGTTCGACTGGATATCATTCATACTCACCAAAATATATGTAAGATTTTATTATCATGGAGTGCCTTGTTTATCTCTCAGTATCAGTACCTCCAACCATAGCCTTGAACCTTTTATCCTCAGGATCAGTGTAGTTGTTGGAAGGAGGTGTCGGCCTCAGCAATGTATTTGTTTACATTTTAATACATGTTTATTACACTAAGAGCATCAGCAGTGAAATTTACAAGTGTGAATTTTAACAATCAAAGCGAGAAATGAACAAAGGAGAAAGGAAGGAAAGACTTTGATTGTTAAAATTCACACTTGTAAATTTCACTGCTGTTGCCCTTAGTGTTATTTCTCTAACTTAGATTCTCTATAATAGTTTAATACATGTTTATTCCCTTGATAGGCGACAAGCCTCTGGGTCATCCTAATAAAGATATGGCCCAATATCGACCTTCGGGGCTGTTTTGGTGAAATTGATTTTTTTATTGCAAATTGATGTCTTGCCTTTGTAGAGTATTGTGACTTCGTTTCACGGCCATCAGACCAATATTGACCGTGTAGAGTTGCATTTTACAGTCAGGAGTCATTTTAATCAATTGTTCTTTTTTTTTACAATTCTAAAAGATCAGTGTGTTTGGAGCCACCAAAAATTGTTTCCATGTGATATCAATATCCAACTAATATAGTAAAATGTTTTGACTGTTCAGGTACTTCATTTCCAGCATTCCGTGACTTTATTGAGGTTGTGTAGTTGCAACAGCAGCAATAGCAGCATTAGAAGGAGAGGTGATTTATCTGTTCCCCTGGTGATGGACATGCTTGACAGGATAGTCTGCAACAGATTTTGACGGAACACCATGATACATGTAACAGCATTCACATACTTTTTGTGAAGGAGTCAAACAGAGCAAATGCGTCCAGATTCGCCTTGTTGCACTTTGTGGAGACTGACAGTTTCCAAACATCAGTAACACAGCCTGACAAGCGTTTCACACCACCAACTCAAACCCAACAGAATGTTACTCGAAATTGCCCAGCCTCGTGTGCTCCGTGATGGTCTGGTTCGCCATTACTAGCTCGAGTATCGGGCTTGCCATCCAAAACATTTTTGGATCATCGTCGCAAAGAAAACTCGCATCATTTCGTGCTTTTTTAGCAGGTCTCGCGTGACACTCAGGAAACTGTTCTGCCACCCGCGCAAGGGCGGCCAGCGACCTTGCATGCGGGGTAACCTCAGGAATCCACCTGGTTGTCCTTGCCTGGAGCTGTAGCAGCTATCGCCGAGGCAGACTGTGATTGGCCTTGATCATACTCATCCAGGCCAAGTCCTCATCATCGTCGCCCCCGACCGGTAAGTACCGTGTGTTACTTGCGATCGATTCGCCTGACATGGGCTCTCAGAACTAGAAGCGCTGTCGCCGCTTGACAGGATATCCACAAAGAACAATGCATCACTGTCCATGGGATCGCGGCTGCTGTGCTCTGTGAGCCCAATAACCAACTGACACAAGAATCGCCTTCAATTTTCTTCCGCTTTTGTCGTCTCTGCACTTTGCTTTGACGGAGTCGATTTTTTTGCGAACAAATTTGTTTTTAGTGTTTTCTCAAAAAACCCGCGTAGCCCCGAAGGTCGAAAGTCTCAGATATCGGGCCATATTATTATTATTGTTCCTCCTTTGCTGTGTTGTTTTAGAAAATCGTGGACTAACAGTTTGAAGTCATTGAACTACTTCCAAAAGTTGTATCGACATCAACAGGATTACGATTTCAGTGCAATATGATGCTGGATGACCTTATCACGATAACCCATGATTATAAACCATAATAAACACAGAATCAACAAAAACATCTGCGACACGCACCGCATGGCTACATTTCTCAAATAAATCTGACGAGGGTGGGGAAATCTGAACTATCTGAAAGGCAAGACAAATTTATGACAGAGTCATGAAATTCTGCAACAGCAACATTTATTTATTTATTTATTTATTCAACATCTCCTGGCCCGTCCGAAGACTGCCAATAAACATGAGAGGTCAGGTGATAGCCAACCACGGCAAGCTAAAAGGGAAAAAAAGAAAGATGCTGTCAGAGAGGGAAAGATGCACAGAATGACCTCCGTATAAAAACAGTATAACCACCACTACTCACATGTTTCCCCGCAGAAGAACATGCATTATGCTAGTGCCATTTTCTGCAAAAAAAGGCTAGCACATCAATGCGTATAATACGGTATTGATAAGATCAAGAGTACATAAACCTCTTGATATGATGTGAAGGCCATCATTTACATAATTATTGATATAGGGCATTCCAGATCCATTGATTGGTGACAGAAAAAACAAAAGAAATTATAGCAATAAAAACTGCTTTATGGCAGTTTTCTAAAAAACGTTATTGTGTTCTAGTCCATGGACCCCGTCTAAAAAGTAAGAAATTAACGAAATGTGATAGCTGAAAATTAAAATTTCACACAAAACCTCACAATAATCACACACAGAATTAAAAGCTACATGTAGAAGACCTTTTCCCTCGTGATCCTCTTTCCTATGCATGCATGTTGCCAATTGTTGGTGCAGTGGAAGTTAAAGTTGAAAGCAGCATTTCAAGTGTTGTGATTATTGTGAGGTTTTGTGTGAAATTTTAATTTTCAGCTATCACATTTCGTTAATTTCTTACTTTTTAGACGGGGTCCATGGACTAGAACACAATAACCTTTTTTAGAAAACTGCCATAAAGCAGTTTTTATTGCTATAATTACATGTGTATCGAAAGTTGTCCCCTGAACTAGGTGTTCAAAAGGTGTTTTGTCACTTCAGTTGTTAGGGACTAATCCTCGTGAAAGTGTCAGGAATGCTGCTCCTCATTAACGTTTTCAATATGTTTTATTCATTTCTTCGCCTTCACCCTGTTTTTGAGATGTTCAGCTGAATTTTAATTTTCCACACGTATAGCGTGAGTTTCTTTTCTTGATCGATGCTTTTGCTTTATTTCTAAAAGTTTCTGTATTTTGACGTTTTTCCAGTATTGAACTCGGATGGTGAGCCAATTAAATTATGACTGACTGTACAAGTATAAGATCTGGTTAAGTTGGTGGACAGTTAGTCATAACTTGTAACAGTTTGTCCTTCTCCTTTTTTTTCCATTATCCCGGCCGAACGCAGCGAGGTAGGCGAGAAATGATTTCTCGCGAAATATTTTCATTCGCAAATATAGCATCTGGTGTGTTCTTTATTTTCGCTTCTTTTCCTGACTTCTTCAGTCAGTTTTGAGTCTCACCAGAGTCCCTGCCCTTCCATCCTTCATTTCTGTGCATATTATCATTCCTTTTTAGCGCTTTTTCCGTGATGTGCTTGCCATGCTTACATGATGCCTAATCGTCATTGGGGATATACACCCGGTTTTTTCCTTCACAACTGCGTCCGTCGGCGCGAGGTATTTTTCTCGGCTGCCTCGCTTCAGGAAATTAATCTGACTGTCCCAAGTGGTTCTGCATCATGACCTATTTCTGATATCCACTGGCACGCCTATTCTATCTGAGACACTCTGTTCTCAGGCCTTACTTTCATACCTCACTCGTTATCCGGTTCACATCTGGCCGCGGCCAACTACCCTTCACTGTGTGCGTTGTCGCTATTGCTGTCTATGTCTCTGTGTGTGCCAGTGTATGTGGAGCGAGAAGGGAACAAAAATGTTCGGTTACTGGCTTTACTTGACTGTGCGGATTGCGTCGGTGCTGCCGCTCCTTTCGAAACCTTTAGACTAGCAAGGAACAGCGGGATTGCGACACTCTCGCTCTCACATCTACGTTCTTTCCCACTGTCCTGCGAAACCCCTGCTGCTGTTCATGAAGCATCGAATTACGGTATATTATTAGAAATAAAGGACGATGTGGGCATCCTAAAACCTGAGCGCACTGCGAGGGAATGCAACGTACTGCAAGTCTTTCCAAGATAGCACTGGTGCATTCACTAGAATGTGACTGTTTTTGTACAGCCTCTTTTAAGGGCAAATTAACACAATGGTTTAAAATGCAATATATTATACACTGGAGAAGAAATGAGAAACATGCATGTTTAAAAATAGAGAATAATTCAAGCCCAAACCAAAAAAATGTGACTGCTCCTTGTTTATGCTTTCTCTGGTTTGAAAACAGGAATTGGCAACGTCACCCGAAATGACACATCTGATGACAAGAGTAGAACCTCCCAGACAATGTTTGAACCTTATCTTGTGGGAGGTGCGGCAGGAATTGTTGTGGGATTTGCAGTTGCTGTAGTAGTGGTTGCTGTTTGGATGAGGGTTAAGACAGACGGAAAGTTAAAGATCACAGTGGAATCAACAGAGCCATTTCCTGCGCCTGTTTCTGTTGAACTAATTGAGAACAGTGCTTATGGAGCGGTAGATGTCCCTGAAGTTCAAAACGAGTGCGTTTATGAGCCTGTAGACGAACTGTCGTAATGCATTGCCACATATTGGATTTATAAATGATTTATTTCGCCATGCAGAGTTTTGAACGCTTGCGCAGATTTCATGTGTGTCAACTGTCTTTCGACTTCCCTTTTCCGTGTCCTCAAGTGATGTATACTGCACGTACATGTATGCCTGATAACAAATATTCGAACTTAGAGCGGCCGTCCCCCAGTTCCAATTTCCTTCTTTCTGATGTAACACGATAAATCCTTTTAGCCCTAGACCAAAACCATCTTGCAGTTCGTGCCACCTTTACACGTTGTCGCAGGAAACCTTGGGAACTCACAACAAGTTGGAGGGTTTTGTACGATTTCATAAACATTCGATTGTTCAGATAACGGATATTATAGTTTCCGACCCGTTCTCTCAAACGTTTCCATTAGACGTATATCACTCTGCCTCATCGGATGTTGCTGTTTCAACCTTCACCTGCAATACAAAGCATTCGGAGTAATGAACCGGTCGATTTATGTAAAGCTGTGCCAATCCAAAGACACTATACAACCCTGTAGGAATATTCACTACATCCTCTTTTTTTAATCGAAAATTTATCTTTTTGAAACACACCTTACATAGATGTACATGCAACGCATGTTTGCCCAGGATTCAGTTTGGCTCCATTCAATGTCCCGGGCCAGAATACTTGGAATTACCTACATGCCTCGATCGTAATAATGAATGTTATGGAAAGGTTCACTCATGATCTATTTGTAACGTTGATAGGAGTTGCTTTTGTACGGGCAATCAGGATACAATTCACAGTGGCATGGCGAATGATTAGAACACAACACCAAAAAAAGAATGTCGTTAGGATAATATTTCTTGTCTTTCTCCTTTTTTGGATATACTTGTATGCTTGATTCCACAAACCTGCATCAATTTTATACTTTTGAGCACACTGCTGTAGCGTAGTTGTAGTTTGTTGACAGCATATTATCGTCATCCTCTTCGTCATAGTTCCACCCACAGATACATCGTATTCTCTCCCCCCCCCCGTTTACTCGCAGTTATTAGTATCCTATTATCTTACTATGTGCTTCCATAGCCTTTACTATGTTCTTCCATAGCCACTTCTAGGCTAAGCCTTCGCCATCATTTTATCGGGTCGTCATCCCGTTTAAATGTGCGAAGTGAAATAAAAACCAACCAACCAACCAACCCCTCCACACCTCATTTCCCGGCATCATGATTCCGTTTTTGTTTGATTTTGCACACCTCTTATTGTGTATGTTTGTAGTAGTATTAGTAGTAAAATTGACATATCAGTGGCAAGCCGCTTATGTACAACGGCATGGGAGAGGATAGCAAAAATGAAAATATATTGTTGGGGAAATCCACGTTATTATCGAATATACAACAATGACGGCTGTGGGGTTATAACAAATTCCCATAATGTGGAAGTACGTTATTATTGTTGAAAGCACTAGGTGATCTGCACTCCACAATGTGACCTGTGCGATTATATCGTTAAATGTGTGCCTGTTCCGAGCCACCAATCGCAGTGTCTCCAGGTCCTTCAGACTCCGGAGACGCACGGACGTTGCCTTGGCTAATTCGTTGCCTATCACCACTGGTAGGGTGATGCGCGGGCGTCCGAGCCAGCCCTGATTCTGTCGCTGGAAATACGCTGTCGTGCTCACCTGCGCTGGAGTTGCTTCAGAGAGGCGTAGAATATGACCAAACAGTTTCCACCGTGCTCTTCTGCTTAGTAGGGATATTATTGGCTCGGCATTGCAGCGGGTATATGTGTTGGAGATAATTTGTTTGTATGTTTGTGCGTGGCTTGTATGTTTATTTGATCGTTTGTGCCTGCACCTCCATGATGGTGTAACTTTAGTCATATAATATTATGGCAAAATTTCATTCCATTGTTTTAGGGGGTTACCTCACCAGTGTCGCCTAAATTCTGATGATGGTTTTAGGTCGAAAATTGGTTAACACTATAGCATTTTCAGCAAAGATATCACTTGCTTAGGTAGTGATGTAGGGTTTTGGGGTTATGAAGCAGCTGCAGTGTGAGGAAGGCTGTATCATTTGTGTTTATTAGACAGATACGTGGAGACGACGAAGACACACAGTACCTAAAGTGGGTTGATCGTTGATCACACACACCCACTCATATATCCCTCCCCCCTCTCCCCACACATGCACGTTCACACATACGCGCATACACTCCTTATTGGCCAGGGAAAGTCGTCTCAGCGGGAGAATTGCACTGAGAAATCTAAATCCACCAAATGTTCATTCACAAAATTCACGAAATGCAATGGAAGTAAAGCAATGTCATTTGTTTTAGCGTCGACGAAGAGAATTAAAAATTCAATCAGCAATATAAAGTGCGCGGTCATTCTATGTTATCATGCATCTACTAGAACAAAGATCATAAAGGAACGCTTGGTTGTCTCAAGAAAGTTTTCTTGTGATGGTTAACTCCTTTAGCAATCGAAAGGTCTTTTCGCAATAGAAAGTTCTCAGCTGTCAGCTCGAACAAAGTCGAAGTCGATTCGAATAGTCGAAGTACAACACTCGCAAGGTATTTGAGCAAGAGCACGCGAAAAGGGTGCTTAGCCTCAAATTTTGGAATTTGGGTTTTTAGTGCACCATATACCTGCAAGCTTCACAAATCATTCAAAAACAATTAGTCAAAAACTCCCAGTAATACCTAAGTTACAAGCATTTGTGTTGGTTGCGGTCTGGCGGTCACAAACACAAAAGCACGCCTGCCATGCTAGTTGCAACAGATGTAATGGAGAATCATTCTGGAAGTCATTTTGTCATAGTTTGCCATCTAGCACCAAAGAGCCATGTAAGCATCAGGTAAGAAACATCTCTAGATCAACACTTCACACAATTTGTGGTGTTTACGACATTATTAGTGAGGACTGGCTAGTCCCGGCCAGAATATCAATGTGCCGCAAAAGGCAAATCCAGCAATGCATGATACACATGCAGTGGTGGTACACAGTCAGTAAATTACATTGCATTACTCTTCAACAACAGCTTCTTCAGGATCCAGGTTCAGGTCCAGAAAATCAGCAGCTAAAGCTGTCGAGTTGTCAGCTCTATCCAGAATGTGCTCCAAATTCTCGCCATCATCCTCTTCCTCATCAGCATCGCAAAGTTCTTCGTTGCCACCTGGCGAATCGTGATCATAGCCGCTGCTGCCGACATCAGCAGCAGCGCCAGTAAATTCTTCATCGTCGCCAGCAAGTACAGCAGCTAGTGTCTCATCCACCATGAACCAACGACGACTGGCCATGTTGAAGACAAGGCTTGAAGCGCATCGAAGGAGAATCAAACTCAAACTTCAAAGCGCGATGAAAAAGCGCTGATCGAGTGCATACACCCATCCGTGAAAATCAATGTTGCACGACGATGCGTGGGCCGATTTTTGATCTGTGAAAAGCACATGACAGCTGAGTGTGATGGCTATCGCGGAAGCTAAACGAAATCACACGGAATCGCCAGCTTACTAGTGTAAGCCCGCTTGAAATCTGCGTAAGTTGATCGACATCGTGAAAATTTGAAGTGCAACTTCAAACCCGTTTTTCTCAGTTCAGTGTGCAGTGAGCTAAGCACCCTTTTCCTAAGCACCCTTTTCGCGTGCAACTGGACGTAAAATTACGTCCAGTTGCACTTCCGCGCGTGGGTAGCAGTCAAGTGATTTCCCGCTGTTGGACGAAATTCCTAGTCCAGGCATGCACAGATCAGTGTGACGTCAGTTAAGGGTCTTTGCTGTCAGTTACACAAAAAAGCAGCGCTCTACGATGAATACTACAAAAATACCAGGGATTTTAGCAATTTGTTGTCTCAAATTCCCGCTCCGCGTCTCTTCTCAAGACTATAGTTACACTGGTGTGTTCCTCATAGCTTTCCAGGTAGCCTTCGATTGTCAACATTGATGATGGGTAACGAAAGTTGAGAGCTGAATAGCTTCCATATGTAGTGCATACGGCGATTTTCCAGAAAGAATTTGGCTGCTAAAGGTCTTTTTGTGATGGTCATCAGTTAGTGGTGAACAAAGAATATCAAACAAATGCGTTGAAGAGATGTTCAACAACACAGAAGCAGCCAGCTGTCCATGGCTGCTATTTGTAGCTCACATCTCGAGTACAGTGTCGTCGTAAAAGGAAAACCAAAGAAGCTGGTTGCAGCCGGCTGAGGAACCCACCGTCACAGAATGCCATATGCGTGTCGATTCACGCATGACTCTATTATACCCAACAGAACAGCACCCTAGTGGACTACGTTTTGGGTGAGAGTTTTATGGTGCTGTGAACAATAAAAGAAGGAAACAGATGTTTCTGTGGTACATGTAAAGCTGGCACGCGGGATGTATACAACTTAGGGACCCATTCAAAATTTGACCAACGGACAGTGTGTTATGAAGACGAGGAAGGCCAAGAAATCGTTTTAAAAATTCACAGTACCGTCCCGCACAGACCGATCAATCGACTTACCCAGAAGATGGTTGAAGGTGCAGACTGACAGAACCACAAGAATAGGCGAGTACGAGTACGAGACTCTCATGCCTCAACGTGCATTCTTCTACTCCTGGAACGGCATTTTGTGCTGGCTCAGTCTGTAACAGTGGTTACTAAAGTAACACTAGTTATCTGCACAGCAGCCCTCTCATTATCTCCCATTTTTTACTTGTATGAAGCTAGGGTGTGTTGTTGTTGTTGTTGTTGTTGTTGTTGTTGTTGTTGTTGTTGTTGTTGTTGTTGTTGTTGTTGTTGTTGTTGTTGTTGTTGTTGTTGTTGTTGTTGTTGTTGTTGTTGTTGTTGTTGTTGTTGTTGTTGTTGTTGTTGTTGTTGTTGTTGTTGTTGTTGTTGTTGTTGTTGTTGTTGTTGTTGTTGTTGTTGTTGTTGTTGTTGTTGTTG